AAACATGTAGTGTGGAGTGAGGGGAAAGAAGAAAGTACTACAATTAAATTGTTACACTTAAGACGGTGTTTATCTTATATATATTGTGCGAGTGTAACAGGATGCTCAAATATAATATTGTAAAAAGATGAATTATCACCCCCCTCCCAACGGAGATGGTTGCTCAGCTGTTGAAGCGATCAGGAAAATGTACATCACGTCGGGGTCACCAATGTGGGATGTTGTATGAATGAAGAGACAACCACTAGTTGAACTGTCCTATCGGATTTATTGCAGCTGCACAGTATACACAGACGGATAACAACAATAGTGAACTGCTTGAACACTGAACTGGTATTGTAGAACGGCAGAACTAGACTGTCACTGTAACTCAGTGTATTTTCTTATGTAGCCTGGAGTCGGACATATAGAAAACGGATACGTAATAGGTACTGCTGTTGCCAGATACCGTGTTTACAAGTTCCCTAGCAACCGCTGTTTACTCGCTTTTGCCTAGCAATCGTTGTTTACTCGTTGTTGCTAAGCAATGACGCTTGCGTTGTCACACTTGCTTGAATGTGGGCAGTTCCGACACAAATTTTAGAGAGTGTAAGTTTATCATAGTTGACAAATGGGCACTTTTTAAATACTTTTTAAATGGTGTTGTGAAAACATATGAGGGCAAGCAATGCAATAGTTTGAGGTAATTGGGACACCTGATGATGGCACTGTGTTGCCGAAACATGTTGTGAAGTGACAGGTGAAATTGAGTGAAATTGAGTGCACTACAAGACGGCCACTGTATACATATCATGGATCCCTGATGCTGTCGCAGTGGGTCGGTGTGCAGCTGTTCCCAGTGCTATATTCGGCAAAGTAGCTGCGCTAGAGCTTAGAGAGTCTGTAGCATTTCTCTGTAGAACCAATTCGTGAGCCTTTGTTTTCTTTTGTTACTTCTTGTTGGATTCTGAAAGTCTGGCTATGACCGCCACACCTGATCAAGGTGTGATATGTACTATTTGCTTTGCAGGTGAATATACCACCAGGACTACTGCTAATACTCCTACCGAATGCTGGGTTTTTTATACCTCGGCGGTTGCTATGCAATGCTTCGAACAATTCGTTACCTTTCATCTCCTAGGAAACACGTTTGTTTGCCGCAGGCAACGGCCCACTGTTATTGCGTTGTCGCTATGGAAACTCTCCATATAATATCTTAACCGTGGAGACACATTGTAGGCTGTTAACTTCCTATGCAACGGTCTGATCTAGCGTTTCCATAGAAGTAACTCTTCTGGATTCCAAACATGTGACAATACGTAAGTTTTGAGGTTTTCACGGCGACGACTATGAAGAAAGTCGTCTTCTGGGTTTTGGCGCCGTGTATTCTTCGTTTTTGCCGTTTCCTGGAGAGATGTGGCAACAACTACGACCACAATATTCCNACATCTCCGGTCGTCTCCAACTTCTACATGAAGGACTTTGAGGAGAGGGCACTGGATTCGGCCCCACACAAGCCCATATGCTGGTTTCGATATGTGGACGACACCTTCGTCATCTGGATCCACGGACCTGACAACCTGAAGGGTTTCCTGAACCACTTAAACAGTATCAACCCATGCATTCAGTTCACCATGGAAACCGAAAGTGAAGGCCACCTCCCCTTCCTAGACATAGATATTTACAAGAGACCCGACGGCTCTCTAGGCCATACAGTATACCGCAAACCCACACACACAAACCTGTATCTTAACGCCAAGTCCCATCATCACCCTTCCAGTAAACAGGCAGCTCTGTCCACACTGGTACATAGGGCCAGAGCTCTGTGCGATCAAGAGAGTCTGAGAGTCAAGATATCCTGAAGGACATCTTCAGACGGAATGGCTATAACGACCGGCAGATCCACAGGGCCCTCAACCGCCATCCCAACAGCAATCAACATGATGACCGCAGAGAAACTGTCGCCTTCTTGCCCTATATTCAACAGGATCAGCAGAGTACTGTCCCGACACATCATCAAATCAGTTGGCCTGCCCCCAAAGAAAATATCTAATTTCCTCCGGCCTGTCAAGGATCACCTGGGACTGAGGACACCGGGAATTTACAGAATTCCATGTGAGTGCGGCAAGGTCTACATCGGGCAGACGGGCCGTTCTGTGGACACGAGGTTGAAAGAACATCAACGGCATATACGATTAGAACATCCGGACAAGTCAGCCGTAGCTGAACACAGCATCGATNGCTAGACCACCGTATCCAGTTTCACAAAACCGCCATACTCACCAGTAAGAGCCGTTAACTAGATCGCATTATCATGGAGGCTGTTGAGATAGAGCTCCATCCGAACAACATGAACAAGGAAACAGGGTTCAGTCTCAACAAGTCATGGAAGCCTCTCATCTCTTCCGTCAAGAGAAATCCAACAAGCCACCCCAGTTTTTCGTTATGTCATTGACGTCAGTAGCCTGTCCCTGTAATCATGTCATTGACGTCAGTAGCCTGTCCCCAGCCAACCGGTTCTTCTTGTCTACCGCAACCTCCAAGTGCTATTGACCTCAAGCTTCCTGGATTCACTGGCCGTTCCTCCCCACTCTTAGCACACAAGACCATATATAGCCTTAATCGCTCTACACTGATCCTATTGGTCCGCTCTCCCCAAACACTCCCCTGCCTACTTCGTATATAAAGCAGCGCCTTTCACTTCCTAATCACTACAGCTACTGCTCTCTGCATTCACAAGCCATTCACCTGCTCTGAAGTTGGAGGCGATACGTTCCTCCGAAACGTCAGCAAAAACGAAGAATACATGGCGCCAAAACCCAGAAGACGACTTTCTTCTTGTGACAATATGCTTTATAATGTGTGAAAGATGATTTTGTGCATCTCTGTTCTTATGGAGTTTTTCTAAAGGAATATAGCGTATTTGTCTATTAATTCCCATAAGCGTAGTTGTTTGAGGCACTATGCTACAACCCGGGAGGTCGCGAGTTCGATTCCCGATGAGGTCATTGGATTTTTTCAATTGGCCTAATCCTTGCAGGCGCACTGTGGACCTATGGTCGCCTCGGTCTCTAAGAGAATATATATTTATGATTTACTGCAATTCGGCTTATGCCCGGTGGCAGTGTTTACAAAAACGGACATACACCTTCAACAAAGATACGGCACATACATTTAAGATACAATACAAGTACAATGACCTAATACAAGTACAATGAACATATACAAGAACAATGAAAATAAACAAGTACAATGAACATATACAAGAACAGTGAACATAAACAAGTACAATGAACAGATAAACAAATACAATGAACATTACAAAACACAGAAAAAAAAACAATCCGAAAATTCCGGGAATTAAATCCGGGCCGTCAAGTCTGTAGTTTGTCTCTATACTATCGGGGCTGTCCCAACCCTCTATCTAAAAATCACTTCACTACACTTCACTACGCTCACTTCACTTGCCCTACTGATTTTGCTTTCCTAACCTTCTTTCTAAATAACGGGGGGAGTCCCAGTCACCCCTTCTGGTAACTGGTTCCAGTCAGCGATGGTCCTATTAACAAAGGAAAACTTCCCGACATCTGTTCTCATTTTTCTGGCCCTTATTTTCCTAAGATGATCGGCTCTACTCACGTAGTATGGCGTCTGTAATCTGTCCCCTATATCTTTCCACGCCCTATCACCGTTATACTCGTACGCTTTATAAAGTGCACGCATCCATGCTGTCGTCCTACGCTGCGCCAAAGATTCCCAGATTTATTTTGAACGCAGAATGTAGTACCAGAAATCTTCCTGGGGAGTAAAAGGTGCCTGGCACGTGAGACTGACAGCATTACCGACATTTGTGAGCCGACTGTCTAAAAGATATGGGAAACACGACTTCTCACAAACTTATGAGCGATCACAGGCTGTTACAAGAATACCTTTACTTTTTCTTACCTTATTAAAATAGTAGTGCAAATATCAAAAGTTACTTGCAGAATCAGAGATAAGTTACATGGCCTGTGTTCATTTGTGAATTTGGGAAGTGGATGGCTAGAATTCCTATCACATATTCTTCCAAATATATACCATTTCATGACGTGTAACCAAAATATTTCTGACATTCCATTCCCCAATAAACAAATCCTTAGATTTACTCTCATTGCCATGAAATCTGGGATTACTGATTCATCATATTTTCTGAACAGAACAGTACACAAGTATACATTTCTCTCTTTATGTCAAAATACAAAATGGCAGTCACTTTACTACAACGTCTGTTAATCTGCGCACTATGTGGCATACACAAAATGATGAAATTTAAAGTGAGAAATTGTTATGTCACGCAAAGTGCAGTTCTATAATTCCACTTTTCGTTGTGCTCGTGATTTTATGTTGCATATATGTTGAAATTTAACAGTGTTATCAATGTATGATAAATATGACATATGAATGGCAGCAAGAGAATTGATCTTTTGAAAATGTGGTAGTACTCCTTGAATACGGAGAATAGAAAATTAGCTAGTGGCTTAAAGGGACGAAAATGCTTACAACTCTCACATGTTAGTGAAGGGAAAGCCAAATCTGCAGCTACTCAATTATTTTCCCAGCATTTTATGGAACCCGAAGGCTCATTGCTGTGTTCACAAGAACCCTTCACTGGTCCCTATCCTGAGCCAGATAAATCCAATCTATACCATCCCATCCTATCCCTCTAAGATTCATTTTAATACGTTCACCCACCTACGCCTTGTCTTACCAGTGGTCTTTTTCCTTCTGGCCTTCCCACCAATATCCTATATGCATTCCTCGTCTCCCCCATTCGTGCTACATGTCCTTCCCACCTCATTCTCCGTTACTTGATCATTCTAATTATACTTTGAGAAGATACAAGTTATGAAACTCCTAATTATGCACTTTTCTCCAACCTCCTGTCACTTCATCCCTTTCCGTTCCAAATATTCTCCTCAATAACCTGTTCTGAAACACCCTCAGTCTATGTTCCTGCGTTAATATCAGAGACCAAGTTTCGCACTCATGAGCCACAGGCAAAAATATAGTGTGGGAACATCCCACATTATCACTCTTTTCTGCAACGCTCGCTCTTCACATCACTTTTCACCATCACGCGCGCTAACCAATCAGTTCAGTTCATCATCAGTCCGATTGCAGTCTTCGATCAAGCTACATCAGCCAGCAGGCTTCGTTGCCAGCGCTCGGTCTTCGGAGGCATCGGCAGGCTGCCCCAGGCACAACTGCCTCGGCCCTCCGGCTCTCTCACACCCGACTCACTGGGCCACCGTGCCTGGTGGTGGTGGTGGTGGTTGTGTTACTGTCCGACCAACTGGGCATCTGGCGTAGCCACTGCCTCATAACTCCTACGACCGCGCTCCACGACTAGCCTTTCACCAGCAGCCGCCGCGCCGCGATCAAGAAACCTCCAACTCACGCTGCCGCACGGCAACCACGCAACCTCCAGCCACGGCCGCACTGCGGCCAGGCCTCTCACCGCAACTAACCTCTCTCCTTACCGGGGCGCGCCGCGCTACCTCGCCGGCCAAGCATCTCAGCAACCACGGTCCTTTTCAGGGCCAACAAACTGTTCCGAAGAAGTGGGTTGTCATAGGAGTAATGACAAGACTACACATTAAGAAACCCCACAATTGTTTTGTGTATTCTAATTTTTATATTTTTGACAGCAGACGAGAAGACAAAAGGTTCTGGACCGAATGGTAGCAAGCATTATCCGAGTTCAGACTGCTCCTAATTTCCTCCTCAACCAGATTTCGATTTCTTATCATCGTTCCCAAATATCTGAACTGTGCCATATTTTCAAAACATCTGTTTCCTGTCGTTATGTCGTGCCAATAACACTTTTGCTAAATTATAAAATATACATATAAACNAGTGTATAAACACTTACTCAGTAAATCTTCTCAATCTGTTATATCCAGCACTGGCCACAGGTAGGTTATTTCTGCTAACAGTGGAAATTCCTCACAGCGAACCACGAACAACTGTTCATTCACATCTCTACGGCAAAGTACTGCACAGATTACGAAGAAGTCCAGGCAGTTCTCACTATATAGCATTGTCACGGGCAGCACAGAAAACTTTATGTCCTCAATCTATTGCTGAGAGAGTTATTACCTAGCAACAGTTCGCGTGTTTATTAGCGTGGGAGCCTGTTTATTGTTTGTTGCCTAGCAAGGTTTTTGAGTGTTTACCGCCCGTTGTCAAGCAATGGATCGCTTTCCTGGGCCGGCTACGTATATGGTGGTAGGTGTAATTTGAAGCATCATCATGAAAATCAGTATCATTAAAAGCTGTAAACCTGAGATATGTTTTGTTTTCAATTTACAGCTCTAGCTGTAGATGTGAATGATTTCTAAGGAATCGATTATGAGTTATCAAGATTAACCTCGCAAACTGCTCATACACTTCTTCTGTTTGGAGCAGTTTATCACAATACGCTCAATTGGAATCCCAGTAGAAAACCAGTTACAATTCAATGACGAAATTAAACTACAAAATGGGGGAACTTTGTAGTTTAATGAAAAAACAGTTTTTGATTTATTTCATTCTGGTCCGTCACACAAACAGTAACAAAGACAAATGCAGCACCATCCAGTATGACTAAGTTTTACCACTTGAAAACCCTTACATGTTTTGATCCCTGGGGATCATCTTCAGAGGGCACATCACTTATTGAGAAACACTATTACAACAGATGTTCTTAGTTCCAAACAGTCACATACACAATGCTTGATGTTCAATGTTCAACATTTCACCTTTACAGTAGCCTTCCTATGTTAAAAGTTTTTTTTTAATATTCTTAAAAATATATGAACAGAGAGGGGGGGTTTTGTCTCAG